CCCCCCCAAACTTCCCGCCCCCCCCCCCCGTCACCTAGCAACCACCGAAGCGCCGCCACCCGCGCACGCGCAGCCACCACACGCAGGGCGCGCACCGCCTCCCCCTCGTGCGCACGCGCAAAGCCAAATGCCCGCGCTGCCGCAGCGCCTGCCCCCCTCCCCGCCGCCCTCTGCGCATGCGCACCCTCTGCGCTTCAATGAATGGGGCGGGTAAAGCGCCGCCACGCCGCCAATGGCGCTCGGGGGAGGAGGGGGTGCTGCCCCGAGGCATGCTGGGAGTTGTAGTTTTTCCTCCCTCATTCAGCCGCCCGGGGTAGGGGGCGCTGGGACTACAGTTCCCAGTCGGCCGCGCGCGGGGGGGAGGGGGAGGCCCCGCCCCTTCCCGCCGCGGTACCTCAGCGCGGCGCTGTTGCGGCCTCAGTCGTGTCGGTAGAAGGTGACCCCCGGGACCGCCGGACCTGCCGCTTCTCTCTCAGCCATGGTCGGTACTGAGCCCCAAAAGGGTGTTGGGGAGGGGATGGCGGCGGCTCTCCGTTGGGACGGGGTGGCGACGGGCTGCGGGCCCCCTCAGCCGGGCAGTTGGGGCGGGGGGCTCCCGTCAGGAGGAGGCGGCTGCGAAATGGCGCCGGATCCTCCCGCCCCCCCCCACTCCATCCCCTTCTTTCTTTTCCTCCTCCTCACCGGGCGCCCTCAAAGCCCCCGGGGTGGTGACTTGAAGGTGCTCTTGGCGGCCGGTGCCCGCCTCGGCCCTCACGGAGGGATGACCTTCCAGCCCGGGGACTCGGGGGTCGGGGTCGGCCCCTGCAGCGCCGGCCTGGCCGGAGCCAGCCTCCCCGGCCCGGTGCTGGCCCTTCAGCCCTTTAATCGCCGCTTTTCTTAATGCCGCTGAGCCCGGTGGTTGGCGACTTTGCCCTGGAGAAGATGGGAATTGCCAACTCCTTAATTTCATTAAAGGTTTTGGGCCCAATTCTGCGTTAGCCCAAGATGCCATAAACATGTTTTCCTCTCTTTTTTTCCATCCCTGTGGATGCTGTCAGAAATCCAGCTCTTTGTGTCCGTTCTCCGAATTGTCTATGAGTCCTTCAGGCTCTGTCCTGAGGTTGCAGAGGTGAACTGGAGTGCTCTGCTTTTCTGTGGCTTATATATTTCTATATGCACACACACAAACGTGCAGAGAGACTTTGCTTTCCTTTCTGTTTTTTATGATTTGAAAAATCTCCTCGTTTTTCTAAACCTTATACCTTGTTATCCAAATCTTTTCTTTTGGTGTTTTGCTCTAGAGATGCTTGCAAGCTCTCAAATGTGGCGTATTATTCCAACTATCAGCTAAGGGATACTGAAATCTGTAAATCTTATCTATTCTACCTTCCCACTCTTATTTCTATTAAAAATGTGGCTTCTCAGGAGCAACCACAAGGCAGCAAGTTTTAATTTGTACCTGAGAGCTTTTAAAATGTTGGTGCCATGAATTTGTGGTCTGCAGGAGAACTGCTGTTTGGAGCTTATTTTGATGCCCGGACTTCTTAGAATGTCACTGGTTTCTATCTTGCTCTCACTATTCTAATTATGCATTTGGCGTTGGGCAAAGGTTTTAAACTTCTGAAACAAAATCATGTGTCTGTCGGTGCAACTGCTATTAGCTAAATGAAATGGAAAATGGTTTTTAAGGGCACCTGCCTCAAGGTCGTTTCTTAAGGAAAGAATTTCTCTGGAATCCAGTCTGTGGGCCGCAGGGCTGCTGGCGTTGCTGAAGTCCACCACTGTCTTGCCGATACTTTGTACTGCTTTCCCAAAGGCAATTATTGTCACTGCAACCCTGCTCTAATGAGGGAAGAGCAAAGGGAAAGTGTTTTGAGGAGGTTGCTTTAGGTGTTACATTCAAGTCTTTTTTTTCTTTTTTTTTTTTTGTCAGGCAAGGTGGGATATTCCTGGTATAATATTCAGGAATAATGTTAGGTTGCTGATATTTTGCAAAAAGCTAACTTTATCAGCAATAATGTTTACAGAGGTATTTTATAACTCTAATTAGCAATGCAAAGTCCATCACTTGTGTAGAAGGGACATAGATTTTTCGTATCCCTACGTTTGATAGATTGTAGATTGTTTGATATTACACTTTTACTGACCTTTGTAACCTCCTGAATCAGTTTTGCAGTGTAGTGCTATTTTCATGTAAGGCACTAATAGTTTAGGTCTGCTATCAGCGGTTATCACAGAGATAATTTAGGCACCGAGTTCTTAAACCAGAATGTGTGTGGGGGAGGAGGTGGGGGCGAACAGGGCATTAAGCTCACAGCTTCCTTGTTTGATATTGGAAGTTTTACTTCTAAATGTGATAATTTAGGAGATGGAGAAATTCTGCATGGTTGCTGAATTAAAGGGGGAAGGGCATTTGGGAATGCAGTGTTCACTTTTTTTTTTAATTTTTATTATTACCTTTACTACTCTCTCAGTTCCCTAAAACTTTTTGCCTCTACATCAGCTGTGTGTGAAGCTTTGAAATGAAACAGTTCAGTTAGATGTCATTTAATTTGTCCTCTAGCTCTTGTATACCTGAGAGGGAGTAAAGGTCACCTCTGTAGTCACCACAGCATGAAAGTATTCTTACTGAAGCCCGGTGCAGGAGCCAAGTCACGGATTAAAAAGTGCCCAAATGTGAATGTGTGGAGTCTACAACTTCCTTGGGGAGCTACTCATTTCTCTAAACATCCAACCTCCAAAAGTAGCCTCAGATGCTCAATGGTACCGATTTTTATATGGGACGTAAGTTTTCCAGGGAGAGTTAACTACATTTTGATAGAAGAACAACGTTTTTGGCTTGTTAATCTAGTCCCTGGAATCAAGAGAGATCATGAAAATTTCTTTGATATTAACTGTTCCCAATTGGTGCAGGGGCAGGGGGGTTCAGGGAAAGCTTTGTATTTGAATCCAATGTACTGAGAGCCTGGAGAGAAGAAAGAAAGTAGGTAGTACTTCTCAGTTTATTTTAGCTTATGTTTTCATCCCTCCTGCAGCCCAAAAGGGGAGGAAAACAGGAAGAACTGTAGTAAGCAAACATAATTTTTTTGAGAGGATGGCACTGAGTCATAAGTAAAGGATTATTTTTCTTAAAATAAGGATAAACGTTAAGTCTAAGTGTAAAACAACCAAAATACCTACCTAGTCCTACCTCTTGCCTTTTTATTTTCCAGCCCTTCCCTCTCCTGTTGTTATGCTAAATGCTCACCATAATGCTAGTGGATAGACTGATATTTCTGACTGACATGTTAAAATCAGATTACTGTGTAAAGTGCACATAGTAGAAGAACTTCTCATTAACTTTCCCCTACTTTAGATTGGCTCACATGTTGCAAAGGAGGAAGAGCCTAACTTCTTAACATCTTGGTTCTGTTCACTGGAAATTCAGAAGTCGATTCACAGTTGATTTCAGATATTATGTAATTCTAAGAAAATGTGTTCTGCTGTTATCTATGCGAGCTCTGTGGCAGCGTGCTCTGCACAGGATTACTTTTTATATGCTGCTGATATGGGATTTTGCCAGGCCAAGGTTTGCAGCACAGTAATTTTCCAGTACTTATTTCCCCAACTAATATGATTAGTTGCCTTAAAAGAGTATTCATTGCTCCCTAAGGGAGCGTATAAATAAAGGGAGATTCTCCTTAAAAACGCGCTGAAAAGTTGGCTTCAAAATCTGATATGCATCTTAATCTGTGCTGCCCATTATCCAGACGTTATGCTACATTTGGATGGTATAAATTCCCTGCTCAAGAACAGGGTACCAAAACTAGTTTTGCGATTTAAAACAGCAATAACCAATTGTCTGTGCTCCTTCCCCTTCCTCATGGAGTTCTGATGAGGTTTGGGGGATGAGACTCACAGCAGGACAGGTTCAAAAGAAAATAATGCAGTTCAGTGCCGGAACTGGTAGCCATTTAACCTAATATTTAAAGAATAATTCCCATAATGAGGTCAAAATCATATTGAGGTCTGAATCTGTGCATCCAGTAGTTTAACTTTGTCACTTAATGCTCTCATTTTATCTAGTACGTGGTGAAATGGGGTAGGTGGCCTCACTGTTGTCGCTCTCTAGTGCCAGATTGATGCAGCTGTGCTTGGCTGGTCGCTTCTGCAGAGAGAATACACTCACATCCCAAATCTGTTTTCCTATAAATATCGACAACAGGAATGTTGGTTGGAAAGGATCTCTAGAGGTCGTCCAGTCTGACCCCTTCCTTGCTCTGAGTCTGGAGGTTGTCCAGTCCAGCCACGATAGCAGGACTTTGTTCCTCTGCTGAATCAGGTCACACTTGGTGTTTCATCTGGGTCTTGAAAACTGTCAAGGATGCAGGTTGCACAGACTCTCTTCAGTACCTTGCTCCAGTGCAGCAGGACCACCCTAATCAAGGCTTTTTCTCTTAATTTGTAGCTGTTGCCCCGTGTTCTGCTGTCTGCCACGACAGAGAGGTGTTTGGCAACATTATTTGAGTTCTTATTCTTCAAAGTAGTAGTCGGCTGCTGTTAGATTGCTCCTTGTCCTCTACCTTTCTAGGCTATGCCCCGGCTCCCTCAGCATCATTTCTAGGACATGAACTTCAGGCCTCAGCCATCTGAGTAAAGTTTGAGCCCTTGGTAGTTGCTCAACATCCCTGTAAAACTCAGAGGACATCCCAAAACTGGACTCAAATATTTCATTTGCAGCCACCGGCGCTAAGCGAAATGCCTCCCTTTGCTCTGCAAGCTACACTTCTCCTAATGCAGCCCAGTGTGCCATTAAATCATTTCAGACGTAATTGAATGTGGAAGATCATTTGTCCATAATTCAAATGATAATCTTTTAATTACTTGAAAGACTGGGCATGGGTTGCCAGCAGGCTGGTCAGAGTCTGCTTGTTCTTATGCGAGCCCAATGTGCCTCACCCTGCTGCCTCTAGGGAAGAAGGGAGATACAAAATCCCTGCTTGCAAAATAACGGGTTATGAACGCCCCTTGGTGTGTTTTCAGTATTAAATAACCTCTGGTGTTCCCCAAGTCCTTGTCGTGCTTAACAAAATGGACTTTTGCTATAGGGTAAGACATTTCCCCCGCAATTTGCAACATAGTTGGCAGTCTTTTCCCAGTCTTTAGGAGTTTTGGGTCAGTTTAACAATGGACAATTGTATTACGGAAATCACAGAATCACCATGGTTGGTGATTATATGTATTTGTCCCTAATATAGCTTTTTTTTTTTCTGTGAATTTGTTAAATTGCTGCCTAACAGTTTAGTGAGTCAGTAGTTCAAATCCTCTTGATTCCTCGGTGTCTGGCATTCGATAAGTCTTTGGTCACAAGTAAGTGTTCAAAATGCTTAATGGACACAGCCCTCAAAATTGAAAGAATCTAAAAACTGGTGAAGTGTGGCGGCTCATAAAACTTCTGTAATAAGTTTGAAGTGTGAATGGGTAGTCTGATGAGTGGGCACATGTTGTAAGGCCTTATGCTAAAAAGGCATCATTGTTAAAAGGAATACAAAGCTTTTTCAAATCGTTCCTGGTATTTTGAAAGCTTTTCCAGGAGCAGTTCTTAGGGATACTTTTGCAAGCGTGGTCTGTTTCTGTAAAAGCACATAGAGAAATTGCTGGTAGTTCTAGCAAAACAGAGGTATGATCCCAGGAGCTGGCCCCGATCCACGTTTAGGCACGTGTTTTCATCCAGGTTAAATAGTCACACCCTCTTTCTTTTTTTTTTTTTTTTAATTTTTGTTAATTTTTACCCCTCTGTGTGGCTGTGGGTTAAGTCTGTGTTACTGTCTTGCAGGGTGAACCTATCAGAGTCCTGGTGACTGGAGCTGCTGGGCAGATTGCTTACTCACTGCTCTACAGCATCGCCAAGGGAGATGTCTTCGGCAAAGATCAGGTAACTCCTACACTGAATTATTACTTGCCTCTGCTGCGCAGAAATGAATAAGCTCACGTCAGAACTGCAGTCCCTTAGACTTGTTTCCCTGTGGACGCTCAGAATAGTTTACCAATATGCAAGTGATTTATTCTTGAAGTGGTGAAAACGGAGTCTTACACCGTTACACAAGCTTTCAGTTATTGGTGGTGCTGAAGTTTTTCAGTTTTCTGTAAATGGATTTTTAAGTCTTGCACAAGACAGCAATTTCTAGCAGATATTAAGACAAATTCATTTTCAAAACAGATGGTGCCCAACTTGCATTAAACCATTTCTTTCTTTACAGCCTCTTATTCTTGTGCTGCTGGATATCACCCCTGTGATGACGGTACTGGACGGGATAGTGATGGAGCTGCAGGACTGTGCTCTACCGCTGCTGAGAGGTGGCCAAAAGAAACCTGTCTTACACTGACAAGATGTTCTAGTACAACTATTGCATTTCTGAGTTCCTGTAGTTGGCAGGAAGTTAAGCAGAAGAAAATATTGCATGATCCTTTCTTGAGTTTATACTTTGTGGGAGATTGATTTAACTTAAGCTGAAAGTTGGGGAAGAATGCCCTCAAATTGAGTTTTGTGTTGAGAATTGGCTAGGCAGATACCTGGGGTTTTGTTTATATCATCTAATCCTGGGTTGTCAGCACATACAACAAATTGTCAGATACTTGGGTGTTTCTGCATTGTATTCTAGCCTAGTGGTAAAATAACAATGAATATTTAGATAGCACCTAGATGCCTTTACTAAATAAAACCAATTTTAGTCTTTAGAAATATCTACTCCACAAACTGAAAACTCGCTCATCAAGTCATGTAAACGAGATAAGCCCTGATAATCTAAACAAGCACGAGAAAGGCAGCAAGCAGGTGTTGCTATAATTATTACAGTACTTTAAAAAAAAAAAGGCATGTAGCTACCAGCTCTCGTACCGGTGTGAGTAAAACCTTCCAAACCTTCCTCAGTTTGAATTGTTGAAGGAAGAGGAAAACTTCATTTATGTTGGTACTTGCCACTAAAATATGTTAGTCAAAGTGAAGAACAGCATATGTAAATACGCATATATATTTAGAGACATGAAAGTTATCTTTTTACATAGATTTCTGCTGTGTTTTCAGAATTTCTATCTAAAGCTTTAGATAAATATTTGTATATATAAACCGTTTACTGGCAATTTAATCTGTGGAGTTGGGCCAACTGACTATACACTTGTATTTTTGGAAGGGGAAGGTGGTGGTGTCAGATCAGATTATACACTATTTATGAACCAAAGAATATTCCCATTAACACTTTGACATGAGTATTTATCTTACTTAAATTTATTCCTCTCCCGCCCCCCCCTTTCCTGTTTTTAGAGGTCATTCCAACAGACAAGGAGGAAGTTGCGTTCAAAGACCTTGACATAGCAATTCTGGTTGGCTCCATGCCAAGGAAAGAGGGCATGGAGAGGAAGGATTTACTCCAAGCAAATTCAAAAATTTTCAAGTCTCAGGGTGCAGCCTTGGATAAGTACGCCAAAAAGACCGTCAAGGTGAATACAGAAACTGAATTTCAAGAGTTAACTTGTTGGGTTATGTAGAGATGTAAATGGGTGGTAGAATGATGTTGCGCAAGCAGGAGCCTGTTCAGGCATTCCTTTCCTTAAGCCCTGGAAAATATGCCACAGTCAAGGTTAGATGAGATGTAGTGTGTTAAATAGGTGGATGATTTAGTCCTTCGTTTGGTGAAAAAGGTAAATCTTAAGTTTTATTGCTGTATTCCACACATACTCTGAATTGGTTACCACCAACTCAAAAAAAAAAAAGAAAAAGAAAAAAACCTTATAAAAAAAATGAAAAGCAATCTTCTGCTCGTTAATCTCTCTTCTCTGGGAGAACTAAATTATCTACGTGCAGCTGCCTACTTCATATTCATCTGTGGCTGTAACATAATGACCCTTAACTTCAGTATCAATATGGAATTACAGTTGCACAAAAGATTGGCTTTATTTAGGTTGTTTGCATCTTAGTCTTTGGAGCATTGGAAGCTTTTAATTGTTCTCTCTCAGATTCCTTGAGCACAGTTAATGGGATCATGTGGCTGCTCTCCTACTGCTCTTAATCTCAGACCCAGACTCCAACTGTGCTTTGTAACTGACTTTTTAATGTCTGCTTCCTCTGCTGATGAACTTCCTACTGCTTCTAAAGACTTGTTTGCTTCTTTATACAGTTGGAATAAAAACTATCGATGTAACTATTGCAGAGTAATGGAAAATTCATTGAACTCACTTTCAAAAGGGGAAATATAAAGGGAGGTTTGCAGATTAGCTTGTGTGATTGAGAGCATATGGAGCTTGACGTTAATCATTTGAGGCACATTAGTAGATGAAGGATGACTAAAAATCAGTTTTCCATAGTAATAAATTGATTTAAGTTCAGGGAACTAGCTGCCTATGAACGTTGAGATAAGTAACTGTTCTGGTTCTCTTAATTATAAAGTAATTACACAAAGCCATGGCAGCCAGTCTAGGAACTGTTTAAAATGGGATGGTGAATTCACTCTGGGCTCAGTAGTGTATTTGTGTTGTGCTTTCCCTGAATCCAGCAGTGTGAGCTTTGAGGCCAGGCTATGGGGCAGCGTGCACATCAACCTAGCAGTCTTGTTCTCTTTTGCATTTGAATGTCAAATTATAGAGGAGATACCTAGCTAGAAAATATTTTTATGTGCAGTTAGAGAAGATTCAGTCAATATGAATGGTGCAAATACAAAAGAAAACCTTGCCAAAGACAACCAAGAGATCTAGAAGATTTAACTTTTTAACAGTTTCCTTGAAAGCAATGCCATGTCTTTCACTTGAGGGAGCTGTTTTTTCAGAAATTCCTTCTTCATCTTTCCACCTTCCCTTTCCCCACTTTCGTTTTTAGGTTGTGGTAGTTGGGAATCCAGCAAATACTAACTGCCTGATTGCATCAAAGTCAGCTCCGTCAATACCAAAGGAAAATTTCAGCTGCTTAACTCGTTTGGATCACAACAGAGCTAAATCTCAGGTAAAAAGGCCCATTCACAGTAGAATGGTTTCTGTTGTTTCTGCTAAATACAAAGAGAGCAATGCTTTCAAAGAAGCCTATGCTTGAGAAGTGGACAATACATTGGACATATTTCATTTCCATTAGATTGCTTTGAAACTTGGTGTCTCTGCTAATGATGTGAAGAATGTTATCATCTGGGGCAACCACTCCTCCACTCAATATCCAGATGTCACCCATGCGAAGGTCAATGTGAAAGGAAAGGAAGTTGGAGTTTATGAAGCTATAAAAGATGACAGCTGGCTGAAGGGAGACTTTATCCTGGTAAGATCTTGGTGTTGTGTGTGGTTTTGTTTTTTGTTTTTTTTTTTTCAAATGAGCAGTCTGTGCTTCTGCTTTCTCCTAACCTCATTTGAAATTGTGAACTATGTAAATGACTGGGTGAAGCAGCTCTTCCTATCTTACTCTAGTATTGACTTATTAGTCAGAGTGATGGAGCACCTTTCTTAGGACAGGCTGAGAGAGTTGGGAGTGTTCGGCCTGGAGAAGAGAAGGCTCCAGGGAGACCTTAGAGCCCTTTCCAGTCCCTCAAGGGGCTCCAGGAGAGATGGGGAGGGACTCTGGATCAGGGAGGGGAGCCCTAGGAGGAGGGGGAAAGGTTTTAAACTTCAACAGGGGGGATTGAGGTGAGATCTCAGGAAGGAATTCTTTGCTATGAGGATGGTGAGAGCCTGGCCCAGGTTGCCCCGAGAAGCTGTGGCTGCCCCATCCCTGGAGGGGTTCAAGGCCAGGTTGGAGGGGGCTTGGAGCAACCTGGTCTGGTGGGAGGTGTCCCTGCCCAGGGCAGGGGGTTGGAACTGGATGATCTTTAACATCCCTTCCAAACCATTCTGTGATCTTCAGGTAGTTTGTCGGTCAGTTATTTGCTTCTGAAAAATTTAAGACATTATGAAACTTCTGAGTGCTAATATTTCAACAAAACTAATTTTGATCGAAGCTTAGGTGCAGCTCACCTGGCACACAAGCAGCATTGGGAGTTCATTTTGACTTTTTTGGGCATCGCTCTAGATGAATTGGGATGATCTTCAGTTTGCTTCTTCCCACCCACCAAAAAATGCCCAGGAGCTTTATCTTTCCTGACCAAGGCAGGATATTGGCTTGGCCTTCTCGGTACATTGTAATGCTGGTCTATGCTACATTGCTTTGCCAAAGATAAGGAGATTTCATAATTTTTGCTTTCTAGACTGGAGTCTGGTTGGCATAGAGCCTTACCAAAACTTACTAAAAGGAAAAAAACCAAAACCAAACACCAACCAAAAACAAAACGCCAAACCCAAGGTTTAAGAAGTGCAGTTCTTAAGTACAGAATTTCTAAATGTAAACTTGAGTATAGGGAGTGAGGTTCAACTATCTTCAGGAATTGAATGAATTTTATGCATTAAATGTTGTAGGATTGAGACCAGCAAGTCAGTCATGTTGATATTCAGCAGAAAACCTTAATTCCTAGTGTTGTGCTGAGAAATCTGTTACTATTGACTTACATGAAGTCTCTTGGTGGTAAAAGCTTGAAACATCTAGTTGGTGTTAAGGAATTCAGTGGACTGCCGGTTGTAAAGCAAGTACAAAGAAATGAGCCAACCTCTGAAATACTCCATTGTGTTCTTGTCTTGGCAAAACTCTTCTAGATTGTATTTCTGGATCGTATGCTGTGTTCATTTAGTGATAGAATTGTCTTGACTAATGAAAGTAAATAATATTCGTGATGCACTTTTTCCTCGTGGCGTTTACTAACATCGTTAACACCGAGCCGTGATTGTGGTGCTCTACAATTTAGGGGTTTTTCTTAATTGCAGACTGTTCAGCAACGTGGAGCAGCTGTTATTAAGGCTAGGAAGCTGTCCAGTGCGATGTCAGCTGCCAAAGCTATCTGTGATCATGTGAGGGACATCTGGTTCGGCACTCCAGCGGTAAGATGTTGCTCTTGAGTAAGTGCTTATTTGCTTAATGCTTTGATTACACGCCAGTGGCTTTGACCTCGAGCGTATATGCGCGTTGAAGGGGGAAGAATTTGTCTTTTTTGGGAATAGCGTGTCACAGGAGATGCACTACACTGGAAGTTAAACTTTTGCTTGCTTCTAGCAATGAAAAATGTATTCACCCCTTACTTTTCTGCTTTCAGGGGGAGTTTGTTTCCATGGGAGTCATTTCTGATGGCAATTCTTACGGTGTTCCTGAAGACTTGCTATATTCGTTCCCTGTTGTGATCAAGGTAACTGGACTCTATTTAAATCCAAGTGTCTCCTGCAAGACCTGGCTAAACTGTCATATGAGCTTGTTAAAAGCAGTGGGTTTAGTCTGGGGCTGCTGTTGCTGTGGGGATTTTTATCAGTTCTTTGGGGGGAACCATTATTAACCATTTTGTAGTAGTTGTCAAATAAGTACTGATAGAGAAGTAGAATCTGGCACGACTTGGCTGGAGCTGGTTGGTTTCTTGACCTGAAAACAAAAGTAACTTCTGCCTGAGTGTGTTTTTTAAGACCATAAACCCTTGTTTCTTAAGCTGCAGAGTTTCCTTTGTGCAGACTGAACGAAGCTTGTTCTGACATGGAGGAGCTTTTTGTTTGTTTGTTTTCAAACAGGACAAGACCTGGAAATTTGTCGAGGGTCTTCCTATTAATGATTTTTCTCGTGAGAAGATGAATCTGACTGCGAAGGAGTTAATGGAAGAGAAGGAGACTGCTGTGCAATTCCTCTCCAGTGCATGACTAGGTGGTGAGGAAATACAAAATCATTTAAGAGTGGAAGAATCTAAAAGTCGTCTCTAAGTCTCCTCCCGAGCACTATTACTGTATTCAAGTCAACTGTCTGTGGCAATTGTGCATTTTGAGGTTCATATGCTTACCGGTACTGTTGTGCCTCTTGAGTTATTAGCAAAAAAAAGATCATAAAAGAAGCAAAACTAGTGTGTTGACCAAATTTTGTCTGTTCAGTACTAGTTGCTTTCTGCGTATGATGCAGAATAATTGTTTGCCTCTGCCTTGGCTACTAACGCACAATTTGAGTTTTGATTAGAATTTGGCACTATTGGAACACGCCCTAGTCGGTGATCACTTCTGCATCCCCTGGCTCAACTTGACAATGAAATTAGAACGTCGAGAGTTCTCCTTGAACCAGTGGTTCAAGGACTCAGGTCTATCACTGGACAGACTCCCAAGTATGTACTGTTCACCCTGGTTATGCTTACGATGTTTGTCAATAGAAATATTAAAAGATGTTTAATCGCGTAATGGCTAAGCGTAGTCTGTGGCACTTTATTTGCGTGTTTGAGTTTCGGAACTAGCGGAATTTGGTAGTACAACTTAAAAAAACCCTGAAGGCCTAGTTTAAAACTGGTTTCCCCTCAGTTTTTTTTTTTAAGGAGGTTTATTGATGACTAGCACTTCCATTTTGTCTTTCCCAGGCAAAATTGCTTTATGTCAACATCAGCCAGAAAAGCCTGAAGGCAGATTTGCACTCCAGCCCTACGATTCCAAAGCCGTGTCGGAGCTGTAGCACGGTACTTATTTGATAATAGCTTCAAGGCCTTTTGTCCCAGGAGACAAGGACTCCCTGAGGTTAATATATACTTGCTTGAGAATTTTTCTAGTGCAGCCTAAGAACACTGTAACTTCAGGAAGCTATTTCAGATATATTGTGCTGTAATTATTCCTTTGCAGGCAACAGGGGTGAACGTTGCTGTAACTCTTCTACGAGATTCTTACTCTGTCTGCTCCTCCTGTAGGAACCCATCTTATGGAGACTGAAGGGATTTAGACTGGGTTTGTTCTTCTGGGAGTTTCTTAGATGTAGTGTCTGTTCTGTTGGTTTTCTAAGCACCTCCCATAGCGTTTGCAGAGTGCAAGCTCTCCCCATAATGGGATTTTTCTGGTACACAATGTCAGTGCTAAGTTGTCATCTGTCCTGTTCCAATAGAAGCGTGTCTGCCTTTTACTAAAGGAAATCTTGGGTCTGTTGTATCTGGAGTCATCTCATTTCCCTCTTTATTTTTGATTCGTTGTCATTCAATGAGGATTCAAAAAAGTAGAACGGTTTTGACCCCCTCAAAAAAAGCTTAAACTGAATTCCAAGCGAATGGAATTACTTCTTTGAGGATTTATCAACTAGAATATAGAATAAATGGTCAAACACCAATAAGCTTATCCTTGGGAGTTGGCTGCCAGCATTACTGTAGCCATTCAGTGCAGTGACAGTGAGGCAGCAAACTGCTGTGGCACAGGCCAGCCGGGGAGAGGACACAGCAAACGAATGTCTTGGGAACAGAGAACAACCATATACATTGTGGTGGTTTTTTTTTTTTTTCCACTGTTGTTCTCATTCCTCTAGAAGTTTAGCTGTGGAGAAGAGATAAGAAGAAAATTTCATACGTCTTGTCTTTTCAGGACAGTTTGGGAACCTCCGCAGGAAGGCGGGAGGTAAGGAAAGCTGACAAGGTGACAACTGCTTTCTGGCATTCCATGCAAAGTCAGTAAAAATCTCAACGCAAGCCTGGGGCCCAAGGGAATTTGTGCCAGTTAATTACCACGCTGCAGCTTATTTTAAGACAATGTGTTTTACGGTGAATGTTACAGGAGGGAGCTACAGTGCATGCTGTTACAGTTAAAAAAGGCTGGAGGCTCAGAAAAGGAAAGTATATATCTGCAACTGAAAATCATAAGATATGATAAATCCTGCTGGAGTGTATACCTACAGAAACACCTCAATGTAGGGAAAAAGCTTTTTTTATTTAAAAAAAAAAACAAAACCTGGAAGATCTGGCTCTTCCAGGTTTTTTGATGTTTGTTTTAAAGCAGTCTTCTCCAGGATATGCCTCACTTGTTGTCAGGTGATGCTGGTAACACTTGGTGTATCAGAACAGTTGCGTAATTAACCACAGTACTTGATAGACTATCTCATTATGTATTTAACTCAAGTTAACACTTGAGTCTACGTTTGATTCCTCTCATACTATGAGTTTTAAGCACTGCTTATATTTCCTCCAGGCTTCTGTCGAGCAATTTGACAGGAGATCTCTCCTCTGCTCAATGACCACCAGTTCCCCCTCCTCCTAGGGCTCCCCTCCCTGATCCAGAGTCCCTCCCCATCTCTCCTGGAGCCCCTTGAGGGACTGGAAGGGGCTCCAAGGTCTCCCCGGAGCCTTCTCTTCTCCAGGCTGAACCCCCCAACTCTCTCAGCCCCCCCTCCCAGCAGAGGGGCTCCAGCCCTCCCACCATCTCCGGGGCCTCCTCTGGCCCTGCTCCAACAGCTCCATGTCCTTCTGCTGGTGGTGGCCCCAGAGCTGGAGGCAGCACTGGGGGGGTGTCTCCCCAGAGCGGAGCAGAGGGGCAGAATCCCCCCCTGGCCCTGCTGGCCACGCTGCTGGGGATGCAGCCCAGGATGGGGTTGGCTTTCTGGGCTGCCAGGGCACGTTGCTGGCTCGTGTTGAGCTTCTCATCCACCAACACCCCCAAGTCCTTCTCCTCGGGGCTGCTCTCCATCCAATGTCCACCCAACCTGTATTTGTGCCTGAGATTGCTGTGACCCATGTGCAGGATCTTGCACTTGGCCTGGTTGAACTTCACGAGGTTCATGTGGTTCCACCTTTCCAGCCTGTCCAGGTCCCTCTGGATGGCATCCCTTCCCTCCAGCACGTTGATCACCACACAGAGCTTGGTGTCATTGGCAAAGTTGCTGAGGGTGCACTCTATCCCAACATCCATGTCTCCGACTGTTTCTGTCTGTGGCCAAAAGCCCCAAATCCAGGCAATCCATCCTGCTCCTGCAGTACCTGCTTCTTTTCTTCACCCTCCCTGTGGCAGCTGAGGAGCTTAGCGGGAACAGAGCATCTTGGTGGTGGGAAGAGGTGGCAGATGCCATCTTCCCAGCAGATGGCACCAATGCATATATGTTGTGGCCATCCATATGCATGCACACACTCTCCTCTGCTCAAACCATGATGGAAAACCTGTGTGACGTTTAGAGAAGCCACTTGACTCTTCCTACAAGCCAAGACCTACAGGGCTATCATGAAGCTGCCCAGATGAACTGTGCAAGACTTTATTGTAGCAGGCAACTGATGATGCTTGGGAGGAAGGTGAGCTTTTGAGCTTCCATTTGTTACCAGAGGTTTAAAAATTGTAAATTTCAGCTTGCTCGAGTTTGTGCTCAGTTTTTGAAACCACGTCAGCATTTGGAAGGCCACAGATTGGGCCTTTCCAGAGATCCAGTGCGGCCCACCCTTGGGGAATTTTCACCAATTATGTTCAGTTTTGCTTTCTCCTTCACAAGTGATTCTCAACAAACACAGGCAGCTTGAGTCATTTTAAAATGGGACCACCATTTGGCTGATGTGACCCTGAGTGAAAAAATAATATTATGTGGTTATTTTCTCTAAGCCAGTGGGAACAGGATCCTTTTAAAGCTTGAGACAGAAGGTTTAGGAAGCCCCTAATAAACCAGCATGGGAGTTATTTCGGGAGCAATTTGAACCCCTGCTGATGGAGAGTTAATAGTCTGGCTGAAAACCGGTTTTACATGAAACTGTGCAGAGCAACAGAAATGGGTGGTTTTCAAGCAAAACAGCAAGCTGCAGGTTTTTGGTGCTGCAGTAAATGCAAGCCCAGCAAGGTCTCTCTTGCGGACAGTGGCCTTCCCCTTGGGTGGGAAGGTGGCAAGAAGAAGCTCTGCCCATACCTTTCTCCTAGGAGAGGAAGAAGAATGACATTTGGGCTTTTTGCTTGAAGGAAAAGGCTAATAAGTATTTTTGGCTGAATCTCTTTTGCACACTGAGCTGACAAGAAGGATGTTTTTTCTGTGTGAGGCTGCCTGATGGAGGAGAGCACGGTATGAGCCCCTTACAAAAAACTCTCTCAAAAGGCCAGTTCTTCTTAGAAGACCTCCCTAAAGCTAAACTTAGAGTCCAAAAAGGTGAAGAGCCAAGGAGGATGAGGAAGCATCACATTAGGAAGAAATTTTTTACTCTTGAGGGTGGTGAGAGCCTGGCCCTGGTTGCCCCGAGAACCTGTGGCTGCCCCATCCCTGGAGGGGTTCAAGGCCAGGCTGGATGGAGCTTGGAGCAACCTGGTCTGGTGGGAGGTGTCCCTGCCCAGGGCAGAGGGGTGGAATGAGATGATCTTTAAGGTCCCTTCCAACCTAAATCATCCTGTGACTCTATGAATGAGGTTTATTCCTCAGTGAAGAGGTTGTAGGAGAGAATTAACCCCTCAAAGTATCTCTCTGTTTTCTAAGTTTATTTTTTTTAAAAATAAGCTTCCTGAAAGCCAGTGTTAACATTTCTTTCTGATATTAAAAGGGAGATTGACTCCAAGGCAAACATAAGCCATGGCATTCTTGTGCATGTCTCCCACCGGGGCATGGGGATATGTATTAGCAATGCCCATTGCTCCCAGCTGGATCAAGGATGGAGAAGGGTGGCACGTGTGAGATGTGTGAAAGTACAGAGGTCTTCTGGGGCTGAAACCCAAGGCAAACAGCTCAGTAGGAAGCAAAAGGTGAGAGTTTGCAAAGTTTATGAGTCAGAAGGTGCTCGTCTGATGGATATAGGCTTGTTTTGGTGGTTCCTGTGTGAGGTGAGGGCCAGCACCTCTTTGGGCTGGTAACTGGGAAGCAGCTGGACAAAGAAGTGGTGTCTCCAGCATGACTCAAGCGGTTACCAGCTTCACCATCAAGCCGAAAGCCCAAGTCCCACCAGGAGGAGCAAGAGGCAGCAATTAGTGCTGGAGCAAGGGTCAGGTGGCCACGGAGAGAGGTCCTGTTACTGGTTACATGCCAGAATTGCGCCATTGTCAGGAAAGATAAGGAAGCCAGGTTTGGACGGTATCAAGATGGGATTTTGCCACATCCAAGTTTTGCCATCGGGCCTTTCATGCGTTTCATGACTGCACAAAAGGGCAGATTGTTTCCTAAAATAGCTAAAACCAATAGATGTGTCACTGCCCAGCTGTTTGCAGGCTCAGAGTTCAAGAGCAGCAGCTTGGTTTGACAAGAGCTTCTAGCGTGGGCTTGTTATCAGTTAGAAAAGGAAAAAGTAGATTTGGCAACGTCCTGCCTTCGTGCTACATGGACGTCGGGCAAGAGGACACCTGACTTCGGAGCACCCTGGGTAAGCATCACCCTGATGCTGCTCTGGCTGGGCAGTCGCATCCAGGATTTGCGGGTAATTAATCTTGTTGAGAATTGTTATCCCTTCACAGGAGGTCCCTTCCTAATTCTCTCTTTTGTATTGTTCTCCCCGG